CGGTCCCTCAAAGTCTTAACTCACTCTAACACTAATGGAAAAGTCCAAGTTCAAAGTATCATCTGAGAGAAGTAAGTTCCTTCCACCTAGGAGCCTGCAAAATTAAAAGCAAGTTAGTTACTTCCTAGATACAACGGGGGTACAGGCATTGGGTAAATACACCCATTCCAAGTGGGAGAAATTGGTCCAAATGAAGGGCTACAGGCCCCATGCAAATCCAAAATCCAGTGGGGCAGTCAAATCTTAAAGGTCCAAAATGATCTCCTTTGACTCCATGTCTCACATCCAGGTCACACTGATGCAAGAGGTGGCCTCCCACAGCCTTAGGCAGCTCTACCCCTGTTGCTTTGCAGGGCGCACCCCCACTCCCAGCTACCTTCATGGGCTGGCATTGAGTATCTGTGGCTTTTCCAAGCACACCGTGCAAGTTGTCAGTGGAACTACCGTTCTGGGGTCTGGAGAACGATGGCCTTCTTCTCACAGCTGCACTAGGCAGTGCACCAGTGGGGGCTCTGTGTGGGGACCCCAACCCCACATTTCTCTTCCACACTAGTCTAGGAGAGGTTCTCCATGAGGGCTCTGCTCCTGCAGCAAATTTCTGCCTGGACATCCAGGCATTTCCATACATCCTCTGAAATCTAGATGCAGGTTTCCAAACCTCAATTCTTGACTTCTATGTACCTGTAGGCTCAACACCACATGTAGGCCTCCCAAGCTTGCAGTTTCCCCCTCTGAAGCAACAGCTTGAGCTGTATGTTGGCCCCTTTTAGCCATAACTAGGTCACAGGGCACCAAGTTCTGAGACTGCACAAAGCAGCAAGACCCTGGGCCCACTCCACAAAACCATTTTTCCCTTCTAGGCCACTGGGCCTGTGATGAAAGGGGCTGCCATGAAGACCTCTGACATGCCCTGGAGACATTTTCCCATTTTCTTGGTGATTAATATTTGGCTCCTCATTACTTAACGCAAATTTCTGCAGCTGGCTTGAATTTCTCCTCAGAAAACGGGTTTTTCTTTTCTTTTCTTTTCTTTTTTTTTTTTGAGGCAGAGTCTCACTGTCTCCCAGGCTGGAGTGCAGTGGTGCGATCTCAGCTCACTGCCAGCTCCACCTCCCGGGTTCACGCCATTATCCTGCCTCAGCCCCCCTCCCCGAGTAGCTGGGACTACAGGCACCTGCCACCACGCCCGGCTAATTTTTTTTTTTTTTTAGTAGAGACAGGGTTTCACCATGTTAGCCAGGATAGTCTCGATCTCCTGACCTCATGATCCACCCGCCTTGGCCTCCCAAAGTGCTGGGATTACAGGCATGAGCCACCGCGCCCAGCCCTGGGTTTTTATTTTCTAACACATCGTTAGGCTGTAAATTTTCGAAACTTTTATGCCCTGCTTCCCTTTTAAACAGAAGTTCTAATTTCAAATCATCTCTTTGTGAATGCATAAAACAGAATGCTTTTACAAGAACCCAAGTCACCTCTGGAACACTTTGTTGCTTAGAAATTTCTTCTCACAGATACTCTAAATCATCTCTCTTAAGTTCAAAGTTCTGCAGATCTCTAGGGCAGGGGCAAAATGCCACCAGTCTCTTTACTAAAGCACAGCAAGAATCACCTTTATTCCAGTTCTCAACAAGTTCCTCATCTCCATCTGAAACCACTTCAGCCTGGACTTCATTGTCCATATCACTATCAGCATTTTGGTCAAAGTCATTCAACAAGTCTCCAGGGAGTTCCAAACCTTCCCACATCTTCCTCTCTTCTTCTCAGCCCTCTAAACTGTTCCAACCTCTGCCTATTACCCGGTTCCAAAGTCATTTCCACATTTTGGGGTATCTTTATAGCAGCACCCCACTCTCTGCAGTACCAATATACTGTATTAGTCTGTTTTCACATGGCTATAAAGAACAGCCCAAGACTGGGTAATTTATAAAAGAAAAAGGTTTAATTGGCTCACAGTTCAGCATGGCCAGGAAGGCTTCAGGAAACTTAAAATCATGGCAGAACTTGAGAAGGCACCTTCTTCACAAGACAGCAGAAAGGAAAAGTGCCAAACAAAGGGGGAGGAGCCTCTTATAAAACCATCAGCTCTCATGAGAATTTACTCACTGTCACGAGAACAGCATGGGAGAAACCTCTCCTGTGATTCAATTACCTCCTCCTGGTCTGTCACTTGACACGGTTGGGATTGTGAGGATTATGGGGATTACAATTCAAGATGAGATTTGGGTATATACAATCCAAGATGAGATTATGGATATAATAACCATATTATAGACATTGGGGACTACTAGCAAGGGGAGAGAAGGAGGGTGGCAGGGGCTGAAAAATTACTTATTGGGTATTATGCTTACTATCTAGGTATGAAATCATTCATACCCTAAACCTCAGTGTCATGTAATAAATCCACATGACAAACCTGCACATATACACCCCTAAATCTACTGAAATTATTTTTTAAAGCAAAAAAAGGTGTCAACATCTAGATCTTACTAACTCAATGAACCAGTATTCTCGCAGTGACCAATGCATGTGCAAAGTCACTCAAAGTGCAAGATAAATCAATGAATTTTAGTTTTAGATTCCACATTGCAGCCAACGTCATAAAAACTACCACTTGAATGTTGGTGCAGCATAAGATGAATACCCACAATTATCTAAAAAGACTACTTAAATATTCTTCCCTATGCAACTACATATTTGTGAGATGCTAGATATTCTTCACAAATTTCAAGCTAAACAACCTATCACAACAGATTGCAGAAGCAGATATGATAATCCTTAATCTTTTATTAAGCCAGACATGAAAGCTGTTTGCAGAATTGTAAAACAATACTATTCTTCTAACTAATACTCTTTTTATTGAAAAAGTAGGTATATTTCCATATTCTTTAACATGTAATTCATTTATCATTTTTCAGGAATTAATTTTATTGTTTTTTGAATGTCTCAGTTCTACTTTCTAATATTGTAAATATCAGTAGATATACCCTAGACAAATAGAATCTCTTTGGGATCTTTAATAATGTTAAGAGTATAAAGAGGTCCTGATAATAAAATTTTGAGAACCGTTGTTATCACCTATCCTGACTCGATCAGTTAAAGTTCAATGAGGAGACAGGAGGTATACAATAACTTGAACAGGGAGAGTTTAAGATAAACCCTTACTAAACATAACAGGGGACCAGGCGCAATGGTTCACGCCTATAATGCCAGCACTTTGGGAGGCCAAGGTGGGTTGATCACCTGAGGTCAGAAGCTCGAGACCAGCCTGGCCAACATGGCAAAACCTCGTCTCTACTAAAAATACAAAAATTAGCTGGGCGTGGTGGCAGGTGCCTGTAATTCCAGCTACTCAGGAGGCTAAGGCAGGAGAATCGCTTGAACCCGGGAGGCAGAGGTTGCAGTGAGCCGAGATCGCACCACTGCACTCCAGCCTGAGTGACAGAATGAGACTCCATCTCAAACAAAAAAATAAAATAAAATAAAAACAACAGGGGAGTAACTATAGAGATGTGAAAAGAACACTGAAGAATACTCCAGGGCCAAGGAAGAGCACCCAAGGAGAAGCAAACTTGGAAGTTGGGGCCTCCCCAAGGTTGAGATTCAGACCCTATTGGAAAAAGTGCGGTTGCAGCCAGCAGGAAGAGAATCTCCCTCCTCCTGCAATGTTTCTCCAGTGTTCCTCTACTGACAAAGCTTAAATGCCATGCTTGCTACAAAAGAGCAATGCTTAAGGCTTCACTGTGGAGCTGGTAACAAAAGGGTGAATTTGGAGCTGAGGTGATAAATTGATAGTTGGCACAATGACAAAAAACACACCACATAATCCTTTTTTATACCACATTCATTCATCCAAAAATAGTGCTCTAGGGACCCCTTTTTTTTTTTTAGTTGAAGTCTTGCTCTGTCACCCACGCTGGAGTGCAGTGATGTGATCTTGGCTCACTGCAATCTCTGCCTCCCGGGTTCAAGCGATTCTCCTGCCTTAGCCTCCTGAGTAACTGGGACTACAAGTGCGTGCCACTTCACCCAGCTAATTTTTTTTTTCTTTCCTTTTCTTTATTTTTGTATTTTTAGTAGAGACAGGGTTTCACCATGTTGGCCAGGCTGGTCTTGAACTCCTGACCTCAGGTGATCCACCCAGCTCAGCCTCCCAAAGTGCTGGGATTACAGGCATGAGCCACCACACCCAGCCAGGACCACCTTGTAAGAAACACTGATCTTTGCATGTCATGGAGGATACTTTCTCAGTCTCCTCTCCCTTTTACATGCATCCATTGTTGTTGAATTTCAAAATCTACATGTCAACAACCACAACTGGAAAATACTCTCCACTTAGGAAGGCTGCCAAGGGCCAAAAACTAGGTGTGTATATGTGTGGGTAAAATTCTGCAGCAAGATTTTTTTAGTGCTGGAAGCAAAAATGATTAATGAATAATTAATAAGGGCAATTGAGCAAAATATATCAAGTCATTGCATTTAGTGGCAATGTTATGACTATTTTCCCATTAGCCCAGATCTCTGGTTATATGGGCTTTGAAAATGCTTAAATTACACATCTGCCGAGCTGGATTTTTCTGCAGCATAGGAATAAAATTCCTGAAGCTAGAGATACAACACTGGCGGTTTTTCATCCCTCACAGAAAACCGTCAAGATCTTTGTCATCCTTCAAGTACTAACTTAAAATACAGCTTTCCCAGACCCCTCCCCCACAAACAGAACAGAGATCTCTCCCCCTCTGGACCCTGACTTTTTCTGTTTATGCCTCTACTGAAGCCCTTCCCCAGGCTAACGTGTTCCGTAGCCAGTTTTGCCTGCATTGTTCCCTCCCACTAGACTGTGAGCTCCTGGAGGGCAGGAGCATTCCTTCTCCATCTTGGTATCCCCACAGCCAAGTACAGTCACTTCATGTAAGCTCCCACCCTTATTTGTTGACTCAAATTTGTTCACTTCAAGTGAAGGAAGAATGATAGTTTAAAGTCATATGATTATCATTACTTACAACAGACAAGTGCCAAACTGGTTTCTGCTGTGAGCCATCTTCAAGTCATTTCAAAAACAATGGTCTTCAAGGAGATTCCTTTGAGACACGCAAAGGTATAGAATTTACTTGAGAATCCTGGAAAACAGAAGGTTACAGGCTAGCTTAAAACCCAGAAAAAGTGATTGATCATTATTTTAGACAGTAATTCTGTCGCAGCTTCTCCAGATTCATTGTTTTCCTTCCCCTCATTTCCCACCTCCAGTCTTGGTTCCCCATCATTTACCAGTAGACTATTTGGCATAGTTTTAGGATATTTTGTTGGTAGCACAGAATACTTTCTACCCCATTTCAAACCTTCCCCACGAGGCTCAATTGGTGAGAATAAACTGGATTATGAGGCAGTAACAGCCCTCAAATTTAAGTGCCTTCATACTATAATAGTTTACTCTTCATGTTTGCCACATCTACTGTATGTCTGGGCAGCTCTCCAGGACAACTGAGGTCAATGCAGTAACTCAGCAAACTACATGTCCCTTGCCTTGTGGCTCTAACATCTCAAGACAAGATTGAAGAGAGAGAGTGGCAGTCTGAACATCTGTATGTTCTATGGCTGGGCTCTGAAGTGAAACTAGACACACAGCTCCACCTACTGGCAAGGGAGGTAGGCAACGTAATCCCCTGTGCTGGACCCAGGAAGGAAAGAAAAACCAGATACTGATAAGCTCTAGTACTGTCTCTTCTAAGGGTTTCACAATAACTTTCTTGTCGTTGCTTTTTAGACACAGGGTCTCTCTCTGTTGCCCAGGCTTGGATGAAGGGGTATGATCATAGCCAGCTTTACTGAAGCCTCAACCTCTTAGCTTTGAGCAATTCACCAACCTCAGCCTCTTGAGTAGCTAAGATTCCAGGTGTGTGCCACCACCCAGCTAGTTATTTTTTCTTTTCTTCTTTTTTGTTCTTTGGGTTTGGTGGAAACAGAGTCTCACTATATTACCCAGGCTGGTCTCCAACTCCTGGCCTCAAGTGATCCTCCCACCTCAGCCTCCCAGTGTTCTGGGATTACAGGCATGAGACGCTGTGCCTGGCTCACAAGGACTTCGTAAGTTAAAAATGTACAAGTGCTCCACCCATTCCTCTTGTGAAGCAGTGCCATGAACCACTACATGCACTTGGAAGGCAGATTAGAAGAGGCAGCTTGCTGCCCCCGCCAAAGATTAACCTAAGACGACTAAGCCGGGACCAGTCTCCTCCACATCCCCTGAAGCAGAAACCTCCCCCGCACAGATCAGAAGGGGAAAGTGCAGACTCTCTGCCTTTCTCACCTACAGTCTTATTTATGGGGTGGTGGGAGCGGGGGGCCTGTATGCCTGTTTATCAGAGGTGTTTTAGCCTAGCTGGTTAGGAAAGAAACAAAGCAATTAGACAAATAATTGGCCACTCCAGAACATCCACCCTTGGAAGAGTTCCCTGACCAGGAAAAGAAGATTCAAGAGTAAAGTTTGAAAGGTTTCAGCTTTCTTTCCAATGTTAGAAGACAAACCTTAGCCAAAGTAAATGTAACAGAGTTTAATTGAGCAAATGATTCATGAATCAGCCAGCCTCCAGAGCCAGAGTAGGCTCAGAGTCCAGAGCAGCCACAGGGTGGAAGATGATTTATGAACAGAAAAAGAAAAGTGACACACAGGAAACAGAAGTGAGGTATAGAAACAGCTGGACTCGTGAGAGTTCAGGTATTTACCTTATTTGAACATGGTTTGAACAGTTGGCACCCTTTGGCCAAAACTCGGTGATTGGCACAAGAGTAGGTTACAATCTGTTTACACCTCCACTTAGGTTATAGTTCATGACGTACAGCGAAATCTTTAGGCTCAACTCAAAATATGTAAAGAGGCAGCTCTAGACTAAACTACTTAACACCAAATAACTCATTTTATTTTAATATATACCTTTCTTTGCTTATCAATATTAGAATTCAACATCTCCAGCAAACATTCGTAGAATACTTACAACATATCCGCCTTCAGGAAATAGAAACCGAAATATTTTCAAACAACTATTGTGTCCAGAATTGGTGGGTTCTTGGTCTCGCTGACTTCAAGAACGAAGCCACAGACCCCCGCAGTGAGTGTTACGGTTCTTAAAGACGGTGTGTCAGGAGTTTGGTTTGTGGTCTCACTGACTTCAGCAGTGAAGCTGCAGACCTCTGCAGTGAGTGTTACAGCTCTTAAAGGTGGCGCGTCTGGAGTTGTTCCTTCCTTCCGGTGGATTCATGGTCTCGCTGGCCTCAGGAGTGAAACTGCAGACCTTCATGGTTAGTGTTACAGTTCATTAAGGCTATGCAAACCCAAAGAGTGAGCAGCAGTAAGATGTATTGCAAAAAGAAAAAGAACAAAGCTTCCACAGCCTGGATGGGGGCCCAAGCAGGTAGCCCGGGCTAGCTATGGTGGCCTGCTTTTATTCCCTTATCTGGCCCCCACCCACATCCTACCGATTGGCCCGTTTTACAGAGAGCTGATTGGTCCATTTTACAAAGCGCTGATTGGTCCGTTTTGACAGAGTGCTAATTGGTACATTTACAAACCTTTACCTAGACACAGAGCACTGATTGGTGCGTTTACAAACCTTTAGCTAGACACAGAGTGCTGATTGGTGCATTTACAACCCTTTAGCTAGACAGAAAAGTTCTCCAAGTCCCCACCTGTCCCAGAAACCCAGCAGGCTTCACCTCTCACTAGCACTCGCAACGGACTTTGAGGCTAGCGGGCACTCGCGCAGCCCAGAGGGAGCTCCTCCCCTGATCAAGCACCGCAAGCTCTGGCTGGCCGCGCGGAATGCAGGCCCACCGAGCCCGCGCCCACCCGGAACCCGCGCCGGCCCGTGAGCGTGCATGCAGCCCCAGCTCCAGCCCGCACCTCCCCCTCCACACCTCCCAGCTAGCAGAGGGAGCCGGCTCCGGCCAGCCCCAGAGAGGAGCCTCCACAGCGCAGCGGCGGGCTGAAGGGCTCCTCCAGCGCAGCCAGAGCGGATGCCGAGGCCGAGGAGGCGCCAAGAGCGAGCGACGCCTGCTAGCATGTTGTCACCTCTCCCTGATGTTCCAAGTTCCAAACTGTATGTTGTTATTTTATTTATTAAACTTTATTTATTTTATCCTTTATCAAAGGATAAAATAAAGGACAAATTATTTTATCCTTTGATAAAGGACAAATTACTTTATCCTTTGATAAAGGATAAATTATTTTATCCTTTAATAAAGGACAAATTATTTTATCCTTTTCGCATCCTTTGACATTCTTACGATTGCTCCCATTTTACAGAAAAATAAACTGAGGCTCAAAGAGTTGAGCAGTTTAGCCAAGGTCAGGGCTAGGAATAGTGGGAAAGTGGGCATCTCAACTACATTGTGATCTGGCTCATGATAATGAAGGTCAACATATTCATTCCAAATCAATTAAAACTTAGAAGTCATTGGTTTAACAACCATTTTTAGACTTGGTATTACTTGTAAGTATAATCAAGGGATCATTTATTCATTAGAGTAACTGCAGTTCTATTTGAATAAGCTGAATTTTTTTTCATGCTAATTATGTCTTTTGTGTACTATTCATCATGGCATGATGATCTTTTTAACTTCATCAACTTCCCTGTCTCTGTAATAACTCATTGAACAGAATGCAGTTTTGTAAATGGTCCAGAAATGTACTCCTATCCCAGGATTTAAAAATATAATATTTATAAGACACTTAACAAAATGCCCATAACTAGGTAACCAGTGTATAAAGATTATTTATTTTTTTTAGTAAAGTTGCGGAGCATTGGTCCTTATGTCCTATAGTAACTGAAACCCTGAAAAATAAAAACCCTAATACCTGATAAGAACTGTAAATATCACAAACCTATTAGAACTGAGATAGAGATGGAGACCATTATATGTGTCTAAAATGACACATCTTTAGCTTCAAACAAACACGCATGGGGCTTAACAAGAGCAATTGTGTGTTCACTTATAGAAAGACAAAAATAAAAACAAATTTAGAAATATTCTGAAAAGTTGGGAATCTGTTGTCAAAATTATGACTAAAAGGCAAAATATAAATAGCAGTTTTATAATATTTCTTAGCTTTTTTTTTTAATGAACCGTCCCTTATACTAAATAAGCCTAATGTTTAGATTTTCTCACATTTTATTTTAGTCACATTTTCAGGAACCATTTACACAAAATCAGGATAGTGCCAGTGTGTACTTTTTTTCACTATAAGTCTACTTTGTTCACTGTCTCCCCAGTTTCCAAAGCAGTGTCTGGCACACAGCAGGCTCTCAGGAGGTCCTTGATGAATAAATGAATGACCAGATCTACATAGGATAATATATGTGACAAAGAGGAAAAAAAAAACTTCAAAAGCTAGAGCTGAATTCCCGTTAGAGAGATAGCTGCCCTTTTGTGGCTAATCCATTGTGATGGTTAATTTTATGTGTCAGTTTGCGTGGGCCATTAGATGCCTAGATATCTGTTCAAACGTTATACTGGGTGTGTCTGTGAGGATGTTTCTGGATGAGATTAACATTTGAATCAGTATACTAAGAAAAGAAGATTGCCTTCCCTAACGTGGGAGGACCCCATCCAATCAAATGAAGACCTTAGCAGGACAAAAAGGCTGAATAAAGGGAAACTCCTCCTGCTTAACTGCCTTGAGCCAGGACATTGGTCTTTTCAGGCCTTAAGACTCATACTGAAACATCAGCTCTTTTTCTTTTCAGTTGTTTACTTTTAATTTTTTTAATTGACACATAATTGTACATATGAATGGCACTTAATGATATTGCAATACATATATAAGGTAGAGCAATCAGATCAGGGCAATTAACCATCATGGCAAACATTTACCATTTTTTTGTGTTGGGACTGAGAGGGGATTGTTTCCTTGACCCTGACCCCCTGTGTGGGCAGGAACAGGAGTGGCTCATTTCACTCAGCCTGTAGTCCATGGATGGTTAACTGTTAGCAGCTCAGTGAGGGGTCAGGGTGATAGCCTCCTGCACCTGCCCTTTTTGACACCTGAGTTCTTGTTCGGTATCCAGAAAGAATCAGGTCACATGAACTATTTGAAGGGTAGTGTACGTGGAGGATTTTACTGGGTGATAAAAGTGGCTCTCAGTGGGATGGGAAATTGGAAAGAGGATGGTATGGGAAGAAGATCTTTCCCTGAAGCTGAACCATCTGAAGTTAGCTGCGTCTCCGTAGTCTCTGACACTCAGCTACTTGTATCCCCGAAGTTCAGCAACTTGTATCCCCAAGGCTCAGCAACTTGCATCCCCAGCCACTTGCACCAGCTGCTTGTGTTGCTCTGCCAGATGAAGTCTTTTTATGGACACCGGATGGGGGTGAGGAGGGCCAAAAAGGCAATTATTTGAGCAGAAAAATGAGGTCAGCTGCTTTCACTTAGGGCCCAGGTTCCAGGCTTGAGGGTGGAGTTTAGCCAGAAGCCCAGCCATTCTGTGTCAGGAACATTCAATGCTCTTTTTCTAGCTATTTGAAACTGTGTAAATTATTGTTAACTATAGTTATCCTACAGTGCTGTAGTAAACCAGAACTATGCCTCCTATCTAACTGTAAATTTATAACCTTAACCAATCTCTTCCTATCTATCCCTCTTTCTCCTTACCCTTCCCACCTTCTAGTCTCCTCTGTTCTATTTCTTCTATGAGATCAACTATTTTTTAGCTTCCACATATGACTGAGAATATGCAGTGTTTAACTTTCTGTTCCTGGCTTGTTTGACTTAACAATATATTATCCTCCAGTTCCATCCATGTTGCTGCAAATGACAGGATTTCATTCCTTTTTATGGCTGAATAGTATTCCATTGTGTACATATGCCACAATTTCTTTATCCATTTATCAGTTGTTGAACACCTAGGTTCATTACATATCTTGGCTATTGTGAAAAGGGCTGCAATAAACATGGGACTGCAGATGTCTCTTCAATACACTGCTTTTCTTTCCTTTGGATAAATGGGACTGCTGGATCGTATGACAGTTTGATCTGTAGCTTTTTGAGGACCCTCCATACTGTTCTCGACAGTGGTTGTGCTAGTTTACATTCCCGCCAAGAGTATGTAAGAGTTCCCATTTCTCCACATCCTTGCCAGAATGTTTTTTTAATCTTCTTGATAATAACCATCCTAACTGGGTGAGATGGTACCTCACTGTGGTTTTGATATGCAGTTCTCTGATTATATGGTTTGGCTGTGTCCTCACCCAAACCTCATCTTGAATTGTAGTTCCCATAATTCCTATGTGTCATGGGAGGGACCCAGTGGGAGGTAATTGAATCACGGGGGTGGATCTTTCCCATGCTGTTCTTGTGATAGTGGATAAGTCTCACGAGATCTGATGGTTTTATAAATGGGAGTCTCCCTGCACAAATTCTCTCTTTCCTGCTGCTATGTAAGATGTGACCTTGCTCTTCCTTTGCCTTCTGCCATGATTGTGAGACCTCCCCAGCCATATGGAACTGTGAGTCCATTAAACCTCTTTTTATGTGTAAATTACCCAGTCTCAGCTGGGTGTGGTGGCTCATGCCTGTAATCCCAGCACTTTGGGAGGCCGAGGTGGGCAGATCACCTGAGGTCGGGAGTTCGAGACTAGCCTGACCAACATGGAGAAACCCCATGTCTACTAAAAATACAAAGTTACCCAGGCATGGTGGGGCATGCCTGTAATCCCAGCTACTCAGGAGGCTGAGGCAGGAGAGTCGCTTGAACCCGGGTGGCAGAGGTTGCAGTGAGCTGAGATCATGCCACAATCACCTGAGGTCAGGAGATTAAGACCATCCTGGCCAACATGGCGAAACCCCATCTCTACTAAAATTAAAAAAAAAAAAAAAGCTGGGTGTGGTGGTGCACGCCTGTAGTCCCAGCTACTCAGGAGGCTGAAGCAGGGGAATTGAACGAGGGAGGCAGAGGTTGCAGTGAGCCAAGATTGTGCCACTGCACTCCAGCCTGGTGACAGAGCAAGAATACGTCTTAAAAAAAAAAAAAAAAAAAGGTTCTCCCATTCTGTGGGCTGTCTTTTTACTCTGTTGATTGTTTCCTTTGCTGTGCAGAAGTTTTTAGTTTCATATAACAAAAACAAAAATTTGAAAAATGGGATTGTATCAGACATCAGCTCTTCTAGGGTCTTGAACCTGTCGGCTCTCATACTGAAACTGCACCATTGGCTCTCCTAGGCCTCCAGCTTACTGATTGCACATCTCAGGTCTTTTCATCCTCTATAGTCACACGAACCAATTCCTTATAACAAATCTCTTTCTTTAAATACATATATAAATATGTAGTTTTATATACTGTTCTGTTTCCCTGGAGAACCCTGCCTAGTACAGGCATTAAAGGGATTTTTATTTCTAGCAGGATGGAAGACCAGGTATTTCAAACTACCCTTCTAATGGAAAATCACTAAAATGCTAAATGAAATCTTTTTTAAAACTATCTTTGAAATGCATCACTAAGTAAGCTGGCACAAATTTAAGCAATGTGCAGAGACAAAAACAAAGACAAAAGAATTAGGTCA